CCCCCCTCCCGCAGCGCAGCACGGCCTGGCCCAGCCAACCCCCGCCCTCCCCTCCCGCAGTATGGCCAACCCCCGCGGGCGCCTGCCCCCCCTCCCATGGCGCAGGGAAACCCCTGCGCTCAACTCACCCCTCCGGTGCTGGTGGCACAGAGAAGCCTCCGCACTCCTCCTCCGGGGCCGACGCCCCCCTCCCCCAGCACGCAACAGAACTGTGGGAGGGGAGCAGCCCGCGCACTTCCGGAATTCCTGGAAGTGACGTGGGCTTCAAACAGGACTTCCGTCCACCCCGCGAAAAGCTGGCACTACACTAGAGGTAGGTAGTGGGCCTTCTCAGGGGTGGAGGGGAAAATGGGGTGTGGGGTTGCCCGAATGCCTCGCAATCGACTGGTTGAGGCCTCGTGATCGACCAGTCGATCGCGATCGACGGGTTGATGACCACGGGTATAGAGCCTGCCCAGACCACTCACACTGCAGCCAACCAGACATTTAATGGCCAACTGAGCAGAGCTACCAGGGTATGTTTTCTGCTGGGCGCTCTGGTCAAAATCTGGCAACCCTGCTCCAGAGGTGGCTGCATTTCAGTCTGGATGAAGCAATCTCCATACAGGCACAGCCTGCAAGTTGCTTTCTGAACCTGCTGTGGGGACAGTGCTTTCATGTTATTGAAAAGAGAGGTGGGGGAGGGAGAGGGTGAAATAAAACCAGCTGTTGCGTGTAGCAGTGATTTTAATATTGACAGAAGCGCGTTGGTGCCGAGGCACGAGTATAGTCTGACTCAGCACCCGCCGGGAGGCTCTCCCACATTGCAAGCATCTCAGACAATAGCGTGACAGATTTCAGAAGGCTTTATGACATCACCAAGACTTCAGCCAATAGCATGCGGGATTTCACCAGCAGCTGGCCACTTGGAGCAGAGTGCGGGGCTGTGGCAGCCATGAAGCCTGTCTGAGGCTCCCACTGGGCTGCTGGCTGAGAGTCACTTAGGCTAAGTGCCTGCTGGCTAGAGCCTGCACCTGGAACCCACCCCCTCCCACACCTGAACCACCTCCCCTATACCCAAACCCTCTGCATCCCTTACTGCATGTCAAACCCAGGTTACAAACCCCTGATGTATCCAAACTCCCTCCCAGACCCTGCATCCCCCTCCTACACCTGTCCCCCAGGTCAGAATCCTCTCCTGCAGCCCCCCTCCCCCTTGAACCTGCATCCCCTCTTACACCCAATCCCCTGCCCCAGGTTATAACCATCTCCTATACCCAAACCCTCTGCATCCCTTACTGCATGTCAAACCCAGGTTACAAACCCCTGATGTATCCAAACTCCCTCCCAGACCCTGCATCCCCCTCCTACACCTGTCCCCCAGGTCAGAATCCTCTCCTGCAGCCCCCCTCCCCCTTGAACCTGCATCCCCTCTTACACCCAATCCCCTGCCCCAGGTTATAACCATCTCTTCCTTCACCCAAAGTCCCTCCCACACCACAGCCTCCCCCCCACCCCCGCACCCCAATCCCCTACCCTGAGCTCCCTTCTGCACCAGACCTTTATCCCAGACCCCGCACTCCCTGTATTCCCCTTTCTTCCTTCACCCAAACTCCCTCCCACACCACAGCCTCCCCCCCACCCCCGCACCCCAATCCCCTACCCTGAGCTCCCTTCTGCACCAGACCTTTATCCCAGACCCCGCACTCCCTGTATTATTATCGTGCAAAAGTCTGGTCTGTGATTACTTACCAAATTCTTGGAGTGATGCCCCATGAAAAATTATTGCCCACCCCACCTTAGAACATCCACAAAGCTTCACTTAATGGCACAGAGGCTTTGGGAAGCTTTGATGATGTCACCAAAAATTCAGTAGTTTCTACCATCATTTTGAGAAGCCTTTATGACATCACAATTTTTCAGCCAATGCTATATTGGTGTTTGGATACCTATATGACATCACTAAGCCTTCAGCCAATAGGATAGTGACATTCAGCGCCTCTCCTCTATTATCCCTTTGATCCAGTCCAGGTAGTTGATGACCTTGGTGTAGAAGCCATAGCTCTTGCCACAGACCAGGCCCCAGGAGACGATCCCAGTGGCTATCCAGCGCTCACTCTCTGGATCCAGCACAGTGAAGACGCTCCCACTATCCCCCTGGCAAGTGTCTTTCCTCACAGTGGGAGAGCCAGCACAGAACATGTTCTCAGAGAACACCATGGGCTTTTTTACATCCTTTCCCTGCAGCCATTCTGCACAGGCTTTCGGGCTACCCATTGGCAGTGAGACGTATTTCAGCTGATTTGCGAGAATGTTTTTCTCCACCCCAAAGCCGCTCACGTAGCCCATGTATCCGCTGGAGTAGAAGGTGCTGTTGCTAACATCTGGGAGGCAGACAGGCAGCAGGTTGGGGCCCAGAGTCACTGGATCCTTTAGCTCGATCAGTGCAATGTCCCCATCGAAGTTGTTCTCATCATCAGGGTTGTAGGTGGGATGCACAAACACCTTGCGGATGGGCCGGTTACCCAGCTTGCGGATTTCATCCACCTTTGTGTGGCCAAGGAACACTTCGGCGTCCTCAGTCACCTTCTCAAGGCTCCTCCTTTCCTCTGGGCTGACTTGTTTGGGGAGGATGTTGTGAGCTGCTGTCAGGATCCAGCGGTCACCCAGCAGCGCCCCACCCCCAAGCCCACTGATGTCCACCCCAAAGCCGCTCACGTAGCCCATGTATCCGCTGGAGTAGAAGGTGCTGTTGCTAACATCTGGGAGGCAGACAGGCAGCAGGTTGGGGCCCAGAGTCACTGGATCCTTTAGCTCGATCAGTGCAATGTCCCCATCGAAGTTGTTCTCATCATCAGGGTTGTAGGTGGGATGCACAAACACCTTGCGGATGGGCCGGTTACCCAGCTTGCGGATTTCATCCACCTTTGTGTGGCCAAGGAACACTTCGGCGTCCTCAGTCACCTTCTCAAGGCTCCTCCTTTCCTCTGGGCTGACTTGTTTGGGGAGGATGTTGTGAGCTGCTGTCAGGATCCAGCGGTCACCCAGCAGCGCCCCACCCCCAAGCCCACTGATGCCCCCCTCCCCCTGCCATGGGAAGCTGCCTGGCGGTGCGGTGCTGCCACCGATGATCCGCTGGATTCTCACGATGGGATTGTCTGGCTTCCCACACACTGGGGTGGAGACAGGAACCAAAGAGCCTGTTACATGCTCCCTTCTCCCCCGTCTCTCTTCTCCCCGTGCTCCTCAGTTCCCCGCTTCCCTGCGCTCCTGCTTGCCTTTCTATCTGGGTTTCTCCTGGCTCCTGCCCTGTCACCTCCACTGGCCCCTCTGCCCCATCCCCAGCCTGCACCCCAAACGCCTCATCCCTGGCCCCACCCCCCAGCCTGTACCCCCTGTCCCCACGCTCCCATGCTGTCCCCCTTCACTTCATCTCTCGCCCTCTCTGTGCTTGTGCCCCTCGGTCAGTGCTGGCTCCTAAGGGATATTGCTGAGTGCTGATGAACACAGCAGGACGTTCCCTACTTACCTGGCAAACACACTGGGATTTCCTCCTGGCCGCCTTGGTCCACCCAGGAGCCCTGAGCGGAGCAGGTGTATGTACCTGAGGGAAAGACAAGAAGATAATGACACTGAGGACAGCATGGAGCAACCATCAGGCACAGGGGGAAGAGGGAGAGGCACTGGCGAACCGCACAGGGCAGGCTGTACTCAGCCATGGGCCCCTCCATCCCAGAGGCATCACACAAGAGACAGGGAGAGAGCAGCCCCCCTCGGCCCATCGGGCCCCTCCATCCAGAGAGACAGGGATAGGCCTGAGGAGCTCAGAGAAGAGCCACAGACACGCAGGGGGCTGGAGGGGCTGCGGGGCTATGCTGCTCATTGGAAGTTACACTATTCAGTCACTAGACGCCATGAGTGCTGACGAGCCTTCTGGGTGTGATCCCACAAGACAAAGGCAGCTGGAGCTGGAACTGGAGCTGGTTTGTGGCTGGCTGGTGGGTATGGCTGGTTACTCAATGGCTGGCGGGTGGAGCTGGTTTGTCAGTGGTGGGCAGGTGCAACGGACAAGGAGGGAGCAGTCCTCTATCAGTCCTCTCTGATAGAGGGAGCAGCATGGGGGGTGGGGAGTAGGTGGCACTGTGGAGACGGTGTTGGGGGCAACCAGCCTTTAAGCTGGCTCCTCCAGCACTGGCTCCTGTTTCCCTCCCACCCATTGCTGCCTGTGATACAGGTTTCCCTGACACCACTGGCAGGACACTGAGCTCTAGGAGAGGTGCAGAGCTAGAGCTGCCTGGCGTGGGGCAGGCATGGACAGAGAGCCCCGGGGAAATGTGAGGAACTTGGCAAGTGCCTGGGGGGTCCCAGCTTCTGCTGAGTGTTATTAGGAGGCGGGAGGTGAGACTAGGCTGGGACTGAGCCAAGGCAAAGGAGCTCGAGAGCCTTCCCTCTGCACGGTGAGCCAGGGGAGTTGTGTCCCAAGGGGGGCAGGGCCCCATTCCAGTGCCCAGGAAATTGGGGCCCAAGGGGCTGCGAGGAGATGGGATCTGAGGGGATGTAGCAGGCTCCACCCCGAGCACAGCCCCCTTCAGCACAGCATGGCCCTGCAGTTCCACTGCCCTCCTCTCTCCCTCCCTGTCAGACAGGCCCCCACCTCCTCCGGGGCCTGTGCAATAGTTCAGGCTGGCTGCTCCCCTGGCTTTCCACCACCTGCCCTGCAGGATTTGCTCCTTCTGGCCAGTCGCAGCCTCACAGCAGCTTTTCCAGCTGCCCCCTCTCAACTCACTTCTTCCAGCCTCCAGCAGGAAAGCTCAGTAGCCCCTGTCAGGAGAGAAGAGGCAGCAGATACACCACCCTGCTGCCCAGGGCTCATCCTGAGTGTCCTGGGGAGAAGGGAGCCTCCACTCCATAGTGGAAGGCTGTTGATCGCAGGCAGGTCCTTAACGAGCGAGTCGCCTGGGTTTTCCCCAAACACTAATTTCCGGGGAAGGCTTCCTGTCTCCCACATCTACCTTGGTCACCACTCAAGTCCTGGTGAGACCCCAGACTGCTGGATCCTGGCAGAACCATAGAACAGGGATTGCCCGATACCTAGACTCTCCTGCCTTTAAAGCAGACAGGGCACCCTTGGGACAGGCACTTTCCCAACTCCAATTTCTATGGCACTTCCTGCGTCAGGACTCACCGTTCCCTCTGTGGGTGACCATGCGGTAATAAGGCTGGTTGCACTGGTAGGTGACCTCTGCCTGGTAGTCGTTCTTCCCTGGTTCCCTGACATAATGGAAGGCCCCGTTGGTCAGATTTTTGGGGTCACCACAATTCACAACTACAAACGAGAACAAGAGAGGAGTCAAGGGGAAGCCACGTTGCTCACTGCAGCAATGAGGTTCAGAGACTTATGCTGGAGCCCATGATGGGAGGGAGGGATGGGGACTGTCCATGAGCCCGCTGGAGGAGGTGCAGAGTCCAGTCCCCACTTGGCAGAGCCTAGAGCTGCTTAGAAATGGAGGAAAAGGCCACACACAGACTCAAAGTTATTCAAAGCTGACATATTTGTATATGTAGTGACACTTGATCAACATCTTTGTCAGAAAGGCTTCATAGTTCAGTAATTTGGATCAAAGTCTTAAAAACGTTGCAAAAAACAAAAACAAATACAAGAATTACAATGGTTTTTGAAACAGTGTTTTTGGGGGGAGGCTTTTTTTATTCTAAAAAATTTATTTTGCAAATGTTGCCCAGCCTAGCGGAAAGCATAGTGGCCATCTGACACCAAGTGATGATTTTGGAGAGGGAGGGAACAGTTTAAGTCCTCAAAGGACATTTTCCACAATGTCTACAATAGTCAGAACTGGCATTTCCAATTCCCGTTGCTGACACCAGATATGCCAAGGACTAGATGGGCTATGGAGGATGAATTTCCCACTCACCCCTCTTACATACCAGCTCAGTGTTCTTGGGGAACCAGGGCACAGTACTCATGAAAGACTACCCCCATACCCCTGCTTCTGCCCCTGCCTCTACCCTCACCCTGTGCTTGAACCAAGGCAGATCAGAAGGAGGGCTTACATAAAGCAATGAAAAGGCAGGGGAAGACAGACCTAAACCCCACTGGACAAGGGTGACATGATTAAGGAAACACTCCTAGTTTCATGTACATTGAAGATGGGACAGGAAGGCTTCTCCATTAGCATTTAGAATGGACAACAGCAATTCCAAAGCAGGAACCACACTGAACACTGGGTTACAGAGAGCATGAATGCACTGCCTGCTGGGAAATCTCTGTTCCAGATGCTAATGAACCCACGCCTGCCCATAGTCAGATCAGTAATTATCAGATCAATTTTAGTGACAAGTCCTCTATTGGTATCCAAAATTCTTAAACTGCCTAATTGCACTATGAGCTCCCTCAAAGGAGCCCATAGCTAGGAACAATTTTAGCTTCTCCATCCACTCTGCAACAATGCTCTTTGTATCTAAACTAAAGATCCCTGCAGCACCCAAGACTCTGGTGGGGTTTGCTCATCATGCAGGTTACTAGCAGAATGGTTGTGGTGTGAAAGCAGGAATAGGGACGTTTTGAACCAGGTGGTATATGAGGGTAGCAGCTTGAAGTGCTGTTTAAACTGAGTCCAAGGGCACATGAGGGTCACAATGTGGCATTGCTTTGCATCCCAGCCTACTGAGTCCAGGGACATATAAAGGATCAGCTTGTGAGTGCTAGTTAACTTCCCAGATGTTCTCTGTGCATGAGTGTGTGTGTTCATCTGATTCCAGGGTGGAAAGAACCCAGCCCTGAGGAGCCCAGATCCTGCAGGATAACTCCATGGGGAGGGAAACTAGCAGAAAGAAGAAGTACAGTTCCATATAAGAACACAAGTAACACAAATACAGGCAGTCCCCGGGTTATGTACAAGATAGGGACTATAGGTTTGTTCTTAAGTTGAATTTGTAGGTAAGTGGGAACTGGCTCCAGATTCAGCCGCTGCTGCTGAAACTGACCAGGGGCTGACTACAGGAAGCCCGAGGCAGAGTTGTTCTGCCCCCGGCTTCCTGGAATCAGCCACTGATCAGTTTCAACAGCGGCTGAATCTGGAGCCTGGAACAGAACAGCTGGGGCGCTGCTGGGTAGGTCCCCCCAGGACCAACCCAGCAGCATCCCCGCTGCTCTACCCCAGGCATCCACAACAAAAGCCTGGTCTGCTGGGGGGGGCACTAGCTGCGCCCCCCCCAGCAGACCAGGGAGACGCGGAGCAAAGTGGCAGAGGACCCGGGCCGGACCGCGGCGCTTCCAGATCAGCTGGAAGCGCCATGGGTCCGGCCCCGGGTCCTCCGCGGCTTTGCTCAGCGTCTCCCTGGTCTGCAGACCAGGGAAGCAGACCAGGGACACCCCGAGCAAAGCCTTGGAGACGGCGGGGTCCCGCGCCTCCAAGGCTTTGCTCCGGGTGTCCCTGGTCTGCTCGGGGTGTCCCTGGTCTGCTGGGGACCCCAGGAGCAGCTTTTCTCGCCCCGGAGGACGCGGTGGCGGGACCACTGTGTGTCTGGGTGGTCCCGCCGCCCGCGAGTTCCGGGGCGAGAAAAGCCCCATTCGTAAGTCGGATCCATGTAACTCGGGGACTGCCTGTAGTGCATTGATAGAATTATCAACCTCCCCTCTCAGAACAGCAATGAGTAGTCCTTAGAGATGAACAAAAGATCTGAAGCAGTGGGCTGTGCCCTCGAAAGTTCACGATCCTATATAAATTGTTGTTAGTCTGGAAGGTGCTACAGGGCCACTTGTTTTCTAAAGTTACAGACTAACATGGCTCCCCCTCTGAGTCTCTTGGAGGGGGAATGCTAATAAATGAGCACACCCCAAAGTAATGGGCAAGTCTGGAATTGGTTGCAGGGGAATAATCCATGTGTAGGAAGTAGGAGTGGGGTCACTGACTCACTTTTACACCAGGGCATGGGTCGATGCCAAGTCCCATCGTCCTGGCAGACAGCAGTGAAGGATGGCAGTTTCTGGTCATCCTGCGGGAAAAGAGAAGAACTAAGGACCATGTGTGCCCTCAGATCCCTGCCGCCAACCCCAAATCATGGGAGAGAGCCTCATGTCTTCCTTCTCGCTGCTGCCCAGCTCTGCCCAAACTCCACTGCAGTTCCCTGCCATGACCCCTGAACTTCTCCTCCCCCTCTGTTGTGCATTGGTCTCAGCTGCCCCTATTTCAGCAGGCTCCTGCTGCAGCCTCTTTATCCCAGCCAAAAAAACCTGCAGTCACCAAAACAGTAAGCTCCAGTTCTACCCCAGACACACACCCTCCAGGGACAGGGGTGAAAGAAAAGGCAAGGAAGTGCTGCCTTTCATCTAGTCCCTGAGCACAGTGCAGGGTCCCTCTTCAGAGCAATTCCTGCTTCCCACACATTCTGGAGGCTTGGGACAATGCCTCTGACAATGCCTCTGAACCTGCCAACCCCACCAATTCCTGTGACAGCCAGGGAGTGAAGAGCCCCTGGGGGAGCATGGGAGGAGGGAAGGGGACCAGCAAGGAGAAGAGGGTGGCAAGAGGAGGTGTTGCCAGAAGGAAAGCAAGGAGGAGTGGAGAGAGAGCAGAAGGGTGGAGGAAGTAGGGTCTCACCTCCATCAGGCTGTACCCAGTCTGGCAGCTGACGATGAAGTAGTCACGAAAATGGTACAGGGGCTGCAGGTCTTTGATGAGGGTGAACCGGTCCCGTGGCACAGGCCTGGGGCACCGGATTCCTGTTGGGGAACATGCCAGGTGTTAGCAAGCAGCATGTTCAGGCCTGGAGCAGCTCTAGAAGGGAGCCACTTACTCTCCGAGCTGTAGCGGATCTTCCACCCGCGGCTGAACCCTGACTCATCTGAGAAGAACAGCACATCCACTTCATTGCTGTTGGTTTCAATGATGCCAGGAGACACCTTGCCACAGAACTCACCGATCTCCCTCCCTTTGGCCTGGATCTGGAGAGGAAGAGAGGATTATTCAAAGCCAGATTCATACCAACACTAGTACCCCCATCTCCTCCTCCCCTGCATAAGGCCAGACCAACAGGGCTGTTAGCCCTAGTGTTAGCTTCCTTGGGGCCCCCACAGCCAGATCTGACTCATGGGTCAGTCTCTGCATCTCAGACCACTTAACCCGGGTCCACCTA